CATAGATTACGTTGGTTGGGGTGTGTTACACATATCACCAGATAGGTTGCCGCGGCGAGCGATGTTTGCCAAGGCGGGTAGAGGTTAGAAAAAAATCAAGGGTGGTCAAACTAATACTTGGCATGAGGGTACGAAAACACTAACCAGGAGACTAGGTCACATAGGCCCCGTTGGACTCCCTGGCTGGGGACCTCGGGATGGCGATCATCGATGGTTAGAGACAATGAGTGGTATGGCTGGATGTCGCAAATAGTGGCGCTCGTGCATCCATTCATTATTCCCCTATCACTATTCTATATGAATTCTCCATCTTCCGCTTGAATTTGCTTTCAACATTCCAATCTTCATTCTGCTCTTTTATCCAAATGGGGCACCAAAGGACAGCAACCAAAACCGGTGCACGTACGTGCATGGTTATCGGTTGTAAAAAATGAACTGAAGGAGCGAATTTTGTAACTGAAGAAAGTGTAAAAAAGCATACAAAATAGCATACCGTTGTGAATACACGAATCGCATTCATCCAAAAGGGCCTGTACGGTGAGTTGTGAGCGATGCTGAGTCGATGCAGAGCTATCACCAGCTGTTGTATTCGGGGATACAGCAGTGTGGGAATCAGTTCGTGTCAAATCAAGAGAGGCGGGGGCAGTAGAATCCGGCAGGTCAGAGTCACTGTCACTTTGGTCGCGGGAATATTCCGTTTGAGCTTTATGGAAAAAGATATTGTAAAGACTGCGGGAGAAAAGCCAGCTCAGGACAAGAGTTTATCTTCACGTGGAAAGCGTAAGTATAGCACTATGTAGATGAAAACCCTAACACAATGAATTGCGAACCATTGATAGAGTGAATAGACAAATAATGTGGTTGTTGAGCATATCGAAGAATTAACATAAATAAGGAGTAATGTAAAATAAAAAATGGCTGAAATGCTAGCGTCATGCCGCAAAATCATAGTAACGTGGATTGATAGCTGCTGTCATCCTCAGTGTATGTGATGCAAAAGTGCTGGTGAAATAGAGATTGCGGTGATGGAATAAACCGGTAAGAATAATTCGCAAACTTTGGCTTCAGTCCTGGAGTTGACACGGACACTGATTCGAAGCATAACCGTTGTAAATGATTATAACAGTCAGAAAGGAATAGACAGCAGGTTAGAAAATTAACAGCCCTGGATGACCGCACCCTAGTCGCTTTACTCGAAGCACCCTTCCACAACCTGGAGGGCTGAATTACTCGTTGCTACGTTTGTTATCTGCATTGTTCGTATCTACTGAGTGGTGTATCCACTAATTTACGCTGAGAAAAAGGATTTAGCTACACACAAAATAGATAAAAGTGAAACNAAATGTTGGTACTCATGAGCGGCTTACTCACAACAATAATTCAATGCCCTCAAAAACTCGAGCTTTTGACAGGAAAAGATTTCGCGGAGTATCTCTTGTAGCATACCATTAAAGCCCTATCCACTATCTCCTGGTCGCGAGCGGCTTTTACTTGCGTAAGAGGGTCTAAAGCGAACATTCCGAGCTACAATCCAGCTGCGTCTAGGGCAGTTAGGTAAAGGGTGAAACACTATCCAGCACCTACCAATTAATGGAATACCAACTTAATCCAGGAAATTTCAGTTCGTCGTTGCCAAGTATGAAACACGTTCCACAAAACGAAACATCTAATCAGAGATAACAGCCTTGTAGCATGAAAAACCAACTACTAAAACAAACTGATCGTCAAACACTCGCAACCATCAGGGTGAACCGCCTTTTTTATCTGCTTTACCACTTGTCGTCAAGAAATAACAGGTTATCCCGCAGTCGAAGAGCCACCGCTG